ATCGAGACCATTGCGGACAACAGAGGTTCTCAAATACTCGTTTTCTAGTACTTACGGATTGTATCGCAATGTCAGATTTCAGAATGATCAAACTTCTTCGAGTTTCTCGAACACTCTCTCGATATACGGCGTACATATGCTATTAAGTTTGCTTACAACTGCAAAATTATATTACATTTTTAAAAAATCATTGAATTCTTCAATAGAAAAAACAATTATGTAAATCGATTTTCCAAATGTCAAACAACATTTTTAATTAATATTTATATTAGAAAAAATTCTATTATTTAACATGGATTGTTTTTTTTAATTTAATTGTATGTAATTTAATCTAGAAACTCATACAAATTGTTTGTTGGTATCGCAGAATTGATGTAATAACCTCGCTTTGCTGATTCTTTCTTTCTAGTATATTAAATGTGAAAAATTTGAATATTTTAAAAATATTTAAAAACGTAAAAGTAATTATTTATTCTCTTGTACGAAAAGTAAAGCATTAGTTTTTATTTTCCGGAACAATTTTCTGCGTTTCCTTGACTATTTCAAAGTCCAAGTTTCCTGCACTGAGAGACGCATCGAGATGCACGCAGCAGCTCTGGAAACGCGTGGTGGCGCGAGGGGTAAGTATCAATAATTGAGCACCATGGGGGTGGCTTCGCTTGGCCATTTAGCGGTCGAACGAGGGGGATGGTCCGCGGCGGGTACCTATGGTACGGGGATATCGGTGGATGTATCGCACAGCGAGGCCTGCTATCGACATGTCGACGATGCCAGACCGGAGCTGTATATTCTACGATATAGGAAACTATCCTAGCCGCGATCATGATACGCGAAAATACTATCTGTCATTCGGGAATGCGTGCCGGATCCCTTCCCCCTCGCCCTGCCGAGATTTTTGATCCTCGTTCGTCAGATTCTCGATTTTTTTTCGCGGTCATCGGCTCCTCCTAACGAAGACGAGAAAATAAGCGGCGTCATTGAAAGTTTGACTAGCATTTTACAATTATAACGGAAAGAATAAATACAGAATAAATATAAAAATATTATAAAAACAAATGGCATATTCTTTGTTGTTGCATATTGGTTAATTATTTCCGATTGAAAAGTTTTATCGTATAAAAAATTTGCCCTGTATATACATTCTGTTTATACATTCTCCATTGTGTGCTCAGTTACTGAAGCTTATCGAATTTTTCATTGACTTTATTTATTAGTTAAAGTGCACATATGTATCGCAAATTAGCAAACTACTTCGGCAAGGCGATACGTAATAGATAATTGGGTTTAAAATATGCATCGGCACTTTCGCAGTTAAGTGAACAAAATTACGTCGACGTCACTAAGCTCCAAAAATGTTTTCTTAAATAGCGTGACCGTAAGACCCAGTTAATCCGGATTCCGGAACAATGCGGGATTTGAAACAATTGGCTGCGAACGAACGAGTATCGGGACTGGGTTGCTGTCCGGCAGCCGTGAATAATCGTGACCCATAGTCGGATTCACTTTTCAATTAAAGGTCCCGATTTGCATTCGACTCGAATGCCGTTGATCGGAACGCGCAACCGAATGGGGGTCGATGACCGAGCCGCGCCATCGAAAGTAGCGAATAACGAGAATGGCGATAAATCGATCGAACGTGTCAAACAATATGTCCTTATCGTGGCTCGAATATCTCGAATATTGCGCGGTATTGCATAGAATTGCGCATGCGGAATTACATCTCAGTTAACAAAACGGCGGTGACGCAGATTAAAACTAATATTTTTTGTGCATTTTAAATACATACATAAATATGAAATACTTGAGAAAATTACATTATGAATAAATTTTTTACGTTCAAGATATCTAAAAGTATCTTAAAAACATCATTTTTTTCAAATGTATTTTTAAAAAAAATGTCTTTTAAATGTTTCTTAAACATTTTTTTTTAAATGTCCTATAAATTGATTTTTTTTAAGTGTAATAAAATAATAATATCTTCAATAATATGAAATAATGATAAAATATAATGTAAGTCGAAATAAAGTATAATAATATAATAGAACGCCACAATTTTTTTATTAAATATTCTATAAATTTTAAACAAATAGCATCAATGATCTTCACAAATTTTGTAATGTTTCAAAAAGAAATTCTTTTTTTCACTTTATATATATTAAAAGCAAAAAATTATAAATTATTTGCTTTATTAAAAGTGAATAATTAAACCAATAAATAATTATATATACGTTCCGTAGAGTAATAATTTTTTAAATAAGTTGAATAAATAAGTTGAATAAATATATTTATAAAAAACTTATATTTTTCATAAGTATCTTGCATCTCAAATCTCTGTAAATAAAACAAAAAATGCATTTATGTAAACTAATTGAATTCATCTCGTTCATTTTTCGCAACGCGTAACGTCGCGCGCGGGAAAATGAGATTCGCATTCATTCTAACTCGATGAAGCAAAATAACGCCGTTATGTATGACTGATTATTTTGTTATTCTTATATATTATTGAAAACATTGTTATATTTTGCTATGAACTCAATGAAAGTTAGAATCCTAAATACAACCTAAATACACTATGTTATGCCGAACGAATATAACAATCAATCCATTCGTATTATACTAATAATTATAATTGAACTATGTTTTATTTTTTAATCAACTCGTTATAATTTCATTACACCAATTTTTTTATAATTTGTCTCCAATATAAGATCTAGTGTTGTGCTTTCAAAATTTGTTCGGAAACTAACTTAGTTTCAGAAACAATTTCTTCTATTCAATTTTGAAATTATGTAATTTTATTCTCATATGTAAGATTTTTTTCTTCCAAGAAAAAAAAGATTAGCTTTAATTTGTTAAGATAACCGTTAAGAAGAAGTCAAGAATGAAAAAATCTTCTTGAGAAAGATAATGTTAAGAAACAAGTCTCGCTCACAAATATTATCTATAGTCATACATAACGATTTTATTTCTTTATTGCATTATGATATAACAATACGTTACAATGTTAAATCTGTATAATCAGAATGTTTCATTGATATTTCGGAATTGGATACTTCAAGCGACATACATTTGTTACATTTTCGGTAGTGGTGATTATTTAATGAGTGACAATTGAATATTCGACGCAATGTAAAGAATTAATATTAATAAATTATAATTACGATTAATGTTAATGCTAATAACTTAATATTAATATTATAGTTAATATGTTAATGTGAATATTTTAATATAATATATTAGCTTCTTATTCATAATTCTTTTAATGATCTTTATGAGAAAGATTTTTGATTCTATAATAAAGAAAAAGATAATTTTTATGCATCTTGCAACATACTAAGTCGAAATTTTATGTCCTTCTATTTATTTTATTATATAATTAATCCAATCAAGTGAAATATTTCATAATCATTCTAAAGATTGGATATATGATAATCTTCTAATATATTGAAATTTTATTTTTTTTACGTTTATATGTCAATTATTAATATATTTTTTAAATATTTTTATAAATATACATGATGTTACATGATGTAACTTACGGCGTTGTGAACACAAATATTACACAAAATAACAGTATAAATTAACAATATATACAGTAATCTTAAATATAAATATAATTATTAATCAATAAATAAATCACAATATATATTAATATTGAATTAAACTAAATTCTCAAATTAAATCATCAGTTTTGTGTTACAAATATGCTTTGTTTGTAAATTGAAATAAAGTAAAATACATTGGACGAATGACAATTCTCTAATTTGCTTTGATTACAATTCTAAATTCTAATTCTAATTTTACCGATAAACAAATCGTTAATTATTAAATTATCAATGAATGAGTTATTAAACTATTAAATTTGTTGACACTATAATACTGTGTTAAATTTCGTATCGCGAATGTAGTATGTGAAATAAAGTGAAATAAGCAACGCGGAACAATAGAGAGATGCTTCTGAACCAGTTCCGGATACTATTGTAGATCTAATTGCAACGGAGGATATATCGATGAACGTCGAGGGACCGCACAAATCGATAAGTACTGAGTTTCAATTAACTTTCTAATTAACCTATTTTCTTTAATTACATTTTGTGCATTTATTTCAGTTTTCATAACTATTATTATTTCCGTTACATCATATAAACAAATATTATCATTCCAAAGTTACTAAGACTAATAAAATAAATAAAATAAAAGTTTAACTATTAACTTAATACTAATAGCTAAGAAAAGGAAAAAACAAATTATATTGGATATGTAATACAACTATATGATACTCGCAATAATCGCATTAATTTTCAACAAAAAAAATAAAGATATTGATTGCGTTGCGTGATCTCTGCAAATCTCTGTGTGCAAATATATATATATATATAT